CCTGGTAGTTTTTAAAAAGGACAGGGGGATGTGTGTGTGAGAGAGAGAAGCAGAGGGAAATGTAAACAAAACAGCTGATTCAAAGTTAAGGTATTACCATCAGAGATTTCCCTAAAAGTCCATGAGTGTTTTCTCTTTAAGTCTGAATCATTAATCTTCCTAGGCCAGACAGACTTTTAAATTGCATTTCAAATCCAATACTCCATAAAGAGCACAGAAATAGTTAATAGTCTAGTTTGTCTTTTAATCATTCAGAGACTTAGTAAAAACAAATGTTTTCAAGTTGTGCATTCTTCTGCTTTTGTACTTGTCCTCTTCTGAGTGGTGGCAGGTCACATTAATGGGGCTTCTGGAAGAAGTCCATACATTCTGCAGTCAGCTGAGAAAAAAGCCTGAAAATTCATGGGGAGATGATCTTCTGCCTGGATCACTTGTGCCTGCCCCAAGTGAGCCAGCTACTCCACCACTTGTGACCACTTGTATTGAAAACTCTGAATTTTTGTCTCAGTAGAATAGAAATTACGTTTATTCATGGGTGTACTTTGTGCTAAAGGTTATTATCAAAAGCAGTAAATGAAATGAAAGCATATATTGCAAAATGTAGAGAAAGAGACATTTGTATCTATACAAACTTCCCAGATAACTCTGGCTCTACTTTTATTCCTAAAGTTCTTCCTGTTAATTTTCTTTCTCTCTGGTTTTAAAAACACTATAGTGAAAGTAAGAAAGTTGTGAAGACAGAAGACCAATTTTAGGCATGGTACAAGCAAGTGCAGCTTCTGCTTCTTGGGCGTTATGTTTGCTAACTCCAGAGTGAGTTTAGCCTGTAAGTGGTACTGCTGAAAACTGTGGCAAGCCGAATTTGCATGTTTGCTTTCAAGGCAGCTGTGATAATAGCAGTTGCTCTTTCTGGGTCTTCCTTACAAAAATTATTTACTGTATCCACCAGTGAGGGGATTTGGCATAAAGATCTTGCCTCAGTACAAGGGCAATATCCTAAGCTGCTCACAGGTGTTTTATCCAAAGCCTCAAGAAAGTGAAAACCTCCAAAGAAGGTGCACCTTCTCCAGAGTGTTGCATAAACTTGGATGTGGAGGCCAAGTGGCAGTCCTGTGAGTTCTGATCTCCTGCAGTCTCCTATGAAGAAGAATCTTCTTCTTCATGAGGAAGAATCTCCCAGTTTGTGTAGGTGTCTGGTGACATTGCTTAAGCAGCAGTAAAATCCACAGCAGCAGCACAGCTGTGCCAGGAATGTGTCTGACACAGGTTTTCATGACAGCGTGTATGTGATGAGCTCTTGATCAAAGGTTCCTGCATGAAGTTTAGTGCTTTGCCTCAAATAGCTATAAAAAGTCCTAACTTTAGGTTCATAGAATCATAAAATGTCTTGGGTAGGAAGGGACCTTAAAGATCACCCAGTTCCAGCCCCCCTGCCATGGGCAGAGACAGCTTCCAGTAGACCAGGCTCCTTGGAGCCCCATCCAACCTGGCCTGGAATGCTTCCATGGATGGGCATCCACAACTTCTCTGGGCAACCTGTTCCAGTGCCTCACCACCCTCACAGTAAAGAGTTTCCTCCTAAAATCTAATTTAAACTTACTCTCTTTCAGTTTGACTTCATTCCCATTCATCCTTCCTTCTTTCCAGCACGCCCTTGGAAAAAGTCTACCTCCATCCTTCGTGTAGGTTCCCTTCAGGCACTGAAAGGCCACAATTAGATCACCATGAGCATTCTCTCCAGGCTGAAAAATCCCAATTCTCTTCAAGTTCCTATTCTTGAAGTCAAGCTTGCCCTGCAGCTTTCAGACATTGTTAGTGAAGTGTCTGAGAGCAGGCAGCTGGACGAAACAGGATGTTGCAAGGCTAGAAATTGTAAATGACATTTGCTTGGGTCATCCCTCTTCTTTGGGATTAGTTTGGGAATTGGATTTATCTTTTTTTTTTAATGCATGAAAAGTCAGTCTTTCTTGCAATACTGCTGATACTTTTTGTTTTCTTCCTCTGAGACCAAGCTAGAGGTTAAGTAGCAGCCTGGCAATTCCATGGGCTGTGCTCACATCACATGCAGAAGGTCCGGGCTCTCAATGGCCGGGTCCCCTCCAAGCATCCCAGACTGCATCAGTCCCTTTTACGGTGTGAAAAAATTCCACACCTAGGATAAAAAGTACTCAAATAAATGTCTGTTACAACATGCTTTGATCCCTACAGTGTCTTTTTTTTTGTGGTTGTTTTTCTGCAGAAAATGTGTAATCTGTCCCAGCCCTTAGAATGCACAATTTTAAGGGACAGACTAATCTGCTTGAGGTTTAAGTGACAGCACTGGTTTTCTCAAAGTTCTCATTCTGAATTTTAATCTCCAGTGAAACAAAATAGTTAGATTTATTTGGCATGTTTATTAGCAATCAAGCCTAGAAATGTGCCTTTCTGGTTGAACTCAGCAGACTCACACTTTGTGTAATTGAGACTGCAGCATGACAGAGAGTTCTGTTAGGGCTTCACATATTGATCAGTCCAATTTAATTTCCTCATGGGACTTCAACCACACTAGGGATGGTGGATTGTGTTGAAGGCTTGATAAGCGTATTTTAACAAAGCATCTCAAGGGCTTCTGGAACAGAGGCAATTATCAATACTGATCCATGTTTCCTTTCATCAAAAGGTAAGGGCTCATTAGTAGGCTGCACAACAGCTGCTGCTTGCAACAAATGACTTTTTTTTAATTAACTCGGAGATACTGCTTCCTTACCTGTTCATTTACCAGTTGGCTGTTTTCAAAAGGAATAGAAATTGGGTTCCAGTTTTTGATTTTACTGATATATGCCGTAGCAGTATCTTCTGCACTGCTATATTCACTATTTTGGTAATTAAAGCCTAGATTGTATTATAGAGTAATAGTCCCATCCCACTGCTTATGCCCATGTCTGAACAACCCACGCCAACAAATTCTGGTGTTTTAGTGTTTTACAACTTTTGAATTTTTTGTCAAGTTGTTGATGATCTCTACTATTTTTAATGTTAGTATTACTGGTTAAAGAGTCTCCTCTCTCTCTCTCTCTCTCTATATATATATATATATATACATATATATATATATAAAATAACTTTGGCAGTCAACTCTTTTCTTCATCATTGGATAGTTCAAAAATGTTTTAAAATTGTGTTTATTTTAGGCTCTCAGTTATGAGAAGGAAGCTCATTGTTGCTTCCTGTTGTTTTATCTTTACTATGCAAAAATCCTAACATTTCATTTATAACCTGTTTGGTGTAGGTGTGTTGTGGGTGTTAAATTCATACTGCTATTTAATGCTGAAAATTGGATGCGTGGAAAGAAAACATCATCAAGGCAAACTGTTATGTTAAACCTGATTTTAAACACAGTTTTCAGATCACTAGCTACAAGCTTAGTGCCTTACAGAATGGTTATCCTTAGCTAATAGCAATTGCTTTTGTTTTGTTTATTCACCAGGAAACTATTTAAACCATTTAACAGCTGCTATAGTGTTTTCTGATTTCTTTTCCATTTCACACTCATTTTCTCAATAATTAGCACCGTTCTGCTCATTAATGCATGAATTGAAATTAAGAGCAATACATTCCAAGGAAATTGGAAAAATCTTTGTTTCTAAGCATAGATGAGTGTGGGTGAGTGAAACGTACAAAAAAATGGAAAGGTAGCTGGGTTGCACCAAATGCAATTGACCAATGAACCAAACTCTGTAACGTGCTTGAAATGTTGTTTTGTGTATTTGGTGCATCATGGTAAGTAGAATTTTACCTGTTTTTTCTTCTTTTCTTAATGTTTGAACTTTCAGAATAATTTTTTCAAGGAAAGTTCCTGTTTTCATAATAATAAAGAAATATTTAGCACTGATAACTGTTGCCTAAAATTGCAAGTCAGATGTTTCTTAGAGATCAAAAATAGGAAATTTGATGAAAAGAAATGCATATTAGTTCTCTATGTGTCCTGGAATTCTTTTAAAGTTGTGACTCATATTCAACCATTACTGGAATTCATGGTACTGAAGTCCCCATGTATGTTTAAGAGGAGATGGCTGGTACCATCACTGTCCCCCGGGCTGCTGTTTACTGTCACTTCTCTTCCCTGGTTAGTCATGACTGTAATGTGAAGATGAGTGGGTTACTGTAAAATGCCTTCAGCAATGATTAATTCAGATTAATCACCTAATTTTGCAAACACTGGAGCACTGAAAGAACAGTAGTGGTGTGAGAGATCCCCCAAACTTACCTAATGTTAAATATATTCTGGATTTAGTTCTGCAAACATACAGATGGGGCCAGTTCAGCTATTCCTAGTGATGTGATGGAGCCAACAAGAAGCTTCTTTGATTTCAGTGGCCTGTAGTCATTAATAAAACTGTGCCATTCAGAGTGGTAGGCTGAATGTCACAGATTAGCAGGATTAAGAGCAGTTTCAACATACTTTATTTGGGCTTTTGCTTACTTCCTTAATTCTCCACCCATGTTCCTCTTATTGGGGTCTGCTGTATGCCACAGCCACTGCAGCTACCTGCTCAAACCATTGCACAGGGCAGGAGGAGCAGAGCATAGTCTGCTTTTAGGCAGCGGTTTTAATTGCATTTATATTTTAAAGGTCACTATTGCAATATGTAACTGGTTTGTACTACAGAATAGAAATTTAGAAATTAACTATTTTTAGGAACATGCTACTAGAACAAAATAGAATATTTGATTCTAAAGTGAAAGGAAATTAAGTAAACATTATAACACATGGGAATGTTTCCTATACCTGGGACGTGAATTAAGTAAATATTTCTTCATATAACTGTGTTAATTAAAGTCTTAAATATTGGGAAGGTAACAATATTTATCATTGCTTTTAAGCCTTAATGGTATGTTTCATTATGCCCCTCACTAATTTTGGAGGCTGAGACCTTCCAAAGAAGTAATTTCTACTTTGAATAATGTAAATTATGTCATATTAAATAATGCCATTTATTATTTTATCCTTAAATCTCTAGGTGCTGAAGTGCTGTATATGAACATGTCAGCATATAATGAAGGTCGGCTTCAGTCATCGTTCTGGATTGTTGATAAACAGCACGTATACATTGGCAGTGCCAGCCTAGACTGGAGATCATTGGGACAGGTAATTTAATTTAAAAACTAATCCTATACCGTTTGAGTGTATAATGAGGAAAAAAAGTAACATTTTGAGGACACTTGGATGGCTCTATTTTCTGATAATTTACTGGCAAAAGTGCTAGCATCAAAAACCATACTGCTGCTGTTTTGATGACTCGTCTTTGTTGGCAAGAATGTACTGCTATAAATTTTGCTTCTTTTCATTTTAACAGGTATTTTCCATGGTTATGGTTAAATTTTAAATATTTGACTGGTTTTGTTGATTCCTGTGATGGTCATTTTATGTTCCAGTTTACTTATTAAAAAAAAAAGTGAGCAAACCCATTGGTAAACAAACCACTATGGAAATTCTATAATAGTATCACAGGCACAACATAGTCCCTCTCATCTGCCATTTAAAAGAGCTAACCCCAAATTTGGAAAGACTTCCAAATGGATAGTGGGTGTTATACTGGAATACCCACTGCCTTTGGGGAGGGTCAGATTAATGAGTACAAAATGTCAAATAGCATAATGTTTTTGAAGGTTGCATGTATTAGAGCGAATTCCACATTTTTATTCCTCATAAACGACAGCTGAAGCAACAACCAGTGCTAAGAACTCTGTGCAGTCTGTGACTATGTTGAGGAATTCATCAGTAACACATCTTATTTGCCTTTTTGTAGGTATGTGTGCATTTTTTTTTTCTGCAGCAGTCTTGGGATCATTAGTGGTTGTCATGTTCATTTTTGCTGTACACCACTGACTGTGTGAGGCTACTCTCAGCCACACTTACAGAGTGAAACCTGTACTTTGAGATCTCAGTAACTGAGATGCACAACAGAGAGGGAAAAGCAGCAGTCCTAGATAGTTATTAGTTGCTATAAAAAGGCTTGCTTTCTAAATATGAGCAGAATTTCAGAAACGCAGGAATAATTTTGAACATAGATTCTAATGATTTTGTAAAGGTATGTGTCCTGGTTGTGCTGAACTTTTTAAGATTTGTTTTCAGTTAAGAGACTGGAAGTCTGACTAAAAACAAATTAGCCAATTTAGTAAAGAAAGTGAACAAATGCATTTTTGCTCTTCCTATGATATTAATTTACTTTAAAGGTATGTTTACAAAGGACTCTGGAACAGAGATAGAAAAAACAATGTTCTTAAAGAAAGTCTTGGAAAAGAGGATGTTGTATTTTCAGTCAATACCGTTTGGGCTTTTGGGCAGTTCAGAAAATGTTTTTAAGTTATCTGTGCCTCGTGACCTAAACTCTTCTGTCATAACAAAATAGCTCTTCATAGGATTTATTTAGCTTATAAATAGTTTATCTTTGAAACCTCTTCTATTTGGGGGTTTGAGTACCAGTGAAAATAATTAATGTGGGGAAGAGAAGCACATTTACCATACAGATTATTACATTACTTATATATTGTTTATGTATTTATGACCTTCATCACAGATGATGCAATTCCATATAGGTTTGGTCTTCTCATGCTGAAGTAAATCTTGTAACATACCTGTGTTAAACTTTGATGCCAGTTACTTGTAGACCAGTGCTTCAAAAGTGATTCCTCAGTGTTAATTTTATCACTCTTTTCTTCGTGCATTTGGACTTGTTTTAGTCTTATTGTCATATAACAGTATACTTTTATATGTAGTTATAGGATGAAGCTCTGAAGAATATTTGTACAATGCAAAAAGAAATCTCTCTGCATTACGGTAAAAGAGAATCTGCTTTCAGTTAGTTGAGAAATGTATGCTGGGGTTTCAGAAGAGCCAAAGGAAATTAGATGCTTGGCTCCTGTTGATGTTAGATATGAGTATTCAATTCCCTTACTCCAGAGTTGCAGGTTAATAAATCAGAGCAATTGTCAAAGAGATCTGATATGTTGTCCTAAAATAATAATCTGTCTTGAACTTTCCTTTTCACATATGAAGCAAAATAAGCACAGAATTCTGTCATTTTATTCTGAGTTCTTTCCTCAAGCAAAATGCTTTGTTCATGTGTGGGACCTAATCTTAAAACCCACGGTGAGCTGAGTCCTTGCTGGGGAAATGTATCTCCCACGGGTTCTCATTACCAGAGTCCCAGTATAGCTGCAAATGAGGAATCAGCTCCCTCTCCTTCTCCCTCTCTTTCCCTCTTTTATTCCTTTGCCTGATACTGAAAAGAAAAAAAAAAAAAAGAAAAAAAAGAAAAAAAAAGTTTCCTAGCATCATTTGTCTTTTAGAAAGATAAATCTAAAGCTGAAACAGTAATTTAACTTTTAACAGCTCCTTGGAAAACATCTTCAGGACTTAAGTGCTTTGGGTTTGCAATATTTGTAGAGAATTCTTTGTGTTTATAAGTTGGATACTAGAAATCAATCACATATGAAGCTTATTTAGTTTTGTTGCCATTTTCTTGACCTGCCTGCACTGGCAAGAGGCAATATGAGTATTTTCTTAAAATTTTCTGTATCAAGGAGAGATTTTCATATGCTGCAGATATTACTTAAGAATAGCCTTTAAATTTGCACATATCCTGTGCCTCTGCTGGCAAAGTTTTAATACTTGCTAGAGTGTCAGCATTGAAATTATGAGCAAGGCTAAGAGCACATTATTACTTTTCAAGTAAAACTGTGTTTCAGTTAAATTGAAAGTTTGTCAAAACTGTAGTAATCCTGGCTGAAATCATCTATGCCAACTCTCTGCTTCAGCCTGAAATTAAACCCCACGGGGAAATGTTAAGTACTGCTTAGAGCTCCTGAAGACAGAATTTTACAAAAATTGGGTGTTTTTTCATTCATAGTGGAATATTTTGAAGTTTTCTTTGTACAGGTCTAGATTTTGTGCATCTTTTTCTATTGTTACTGATGTATCCAAATATTACCCAATTACATAACCCATTGAAAATTGAGGATTATGGACAATCAGAATTTTGCCACTTCCTTAAATATAGTAAACTCTGTAAGATTTTACTGGTGAAATCATCTAGCTTCTTGCTGGTAGATTTATATATACTAATAAACAACTAAAAAATTAGTTACTCAAACATGCCTAAAATTGTGTACCTGCAGTGATTAATTTTCTCCTGTGGCTTGAACTAATAGCAATCAAGATGGGCATGGTATTATATTCTAATTTCTAGTTCCTTGACCCAGTAGCTTATTATTACTTAATAAAAGAAATTGGTTTTATAACAACTGTTATAATCCATAAGCTAACGAAATGTATATTTCTTTTGTTCCATGAGTCCCTCCAATATTTCCAACAAAGCTTGAAAATACATTTATCTCTTTAATCCTGTTAAGGAGCATGAGGTTTGTAATACCTATGAACATTTCTGGAGCTTTTCATACTAGCAAAAGTTTGGGAAAAGTTTTATTCACACATGAATAAATGAATCCAGTGGGCAAACAGCTATAATGGATTAGTTGAACTACTTCAGAAAAATGCATTTATGTGCAACAAATAATCAGCTCTTTGAAAATACTATTACTGAAAATTCCTGAAACAAGGAAGATTAATCCAACTGTCTATTTATTTGTGGGAAAAAAATTATCCTCCAGTAAAAGCAATATGTAATAAATACTGGATTTTTTTTAATCTCAAAATACATCATGATGTTCTTGTTTGTTTCCAGCTTCCCCAAAATCTTGCTATAGCAGAGCCACCTCTCAAAACTGATCACTGAGACACGATTTGCACATTTGCAATTTCTGTTGATGATCCTTACAGAATTCATAGAGCAAAAGCAGGCTATAATCAGTCAGTCGTTTCTCTGAACTTTTATCTGAGTCTCTTGAAGTTATGTAATGGTGCATCTGGTCCTTTTGAGATAAGATATTTTGTCTGACACTAGAATTCCATCTTTTCAGTCAAGCAAAAGTTATATTGAGAGTTTCCATTTGATACCATGTTGTGCTAGTATGAATTACAAATTTGTCCCTAATGTGCACTTTGTCAGTTTTTCCCATCTTCTTCTAATAATTTGCTTAATTTTTTTGCTGTCCCAGTGGTGTTCAGTATCATGTTGCTGTTAGTAAACTGAACACAGTCTCAAGTGTCCCATAACATGAAACAAGGCTCTTTCAACATCATTGTCCACTGAGGTTCAATCAAGTTCAGATGGGTAAATACTAGACTGAAAGTACAGGCAACATAATACTGGTGTATTCTATCTACATTCATATCTCTGTGTTAATAAATCTCTTTTACGTTAAGACAGTGAGTATCTCCTTCTAAGAAGTTTTGATCTACTGTTATCCATGTGATCCAATCCTTAAAAAAATTCGTGGGTTTTCTGTCTATGGGATCATTTCCCAAGCTAGCTAATATTGTGAAGAACAGAAAAGTGCAACTCAGATCTTCAAGCATAGGTAAATGAGGCAATATGTGAAGAAAGCAGGTATAAGGAGATATTACAGAGCTGGATTGACAATTACCTTTTTAGACTATTTATTACTTTTTTCTATTTCCTGCTGCATAGAAATCTAGTTGTATTGTCAGAACTTTGCTATGATGCTATGACAGCTTGTCCTTCAAAGTACAAGTTGAAAATACTTTTATTATTTTCATTAAGAGCTTTTGGCTAGGGTTTTTATCTTTGACCAAAGCTAGAGCATTTTAGTAGCTGATACATATCTCCAAAATTGCAGCTTTTCTATTTTCTTTCCTGTTTTTTTCCCCCCACAAAAGTCAGGGGACTGGGAGAGGATAGGTTGCTCTTGTAAATGTGCAGATCTCACAGCATGCATTTATCATGGTGTAAAGTTTGCATTTTTGGAAATACAATGTTTTGTTTGATTCTTTAGGTGAGACAGGCTGCTTTATCTCTGTCACATCCAGAAAATCAGGACAGTCAGTGTTGTCCATTATGCTTACTCTGCTTGAAATTTATTACCTGTGCATCCAGTATTTACAAGTAAATATCAGTGAAACAAAAGGACTGTTTGTCTCTTGCTTACCATTGCTGTGCACTGCTCACAGAGGGCTGGTTAAAGCTGGACAGGATCATGGTAATGTGGCTGCTCCACTTGTGTCTT